AGATATGGAGTTTAAAAGTAGTAAATTTTTCATCTTTGGTACCAATTCACAAGGTGAATGGGTAATGTGATTCTCACCAAAATTGGCATTCGGGTGTGGAAAAATAAGACAATAATCACTAGCTATTTAAAATTATAAATTAAACATTTTTTTTAATTTGATCCTTTATAAAAAAAAATATTTTAAAATAGCTGTTTGTTTTTGGGGGAAATTTATCTGTATTTTGGGAATAAAAAAAGATATGTTAACACGTTTGGGCTGTGAATTCGTACCTTTGATGCCTTGAGCTGTCGGAGCACTATTCATTGAGAGTGTGTACACTAACACCGGGGCTTTAGAATACAACGATAAACGTAAATTTTCAATGTTAAAAGATGTTAATAATTACGTGATGTTACAGTATTCTAAAGCCCCTGTGTTAGTGTACAAACTCTCAACGAGTAGTGCTCCGACCTGCGCAAGGTATCAAATTCACAAAGGTACGAATTCACAGCCCAAACGAATTAACATATCACATTTTTTTGAATTCCAGCATACAGATAAATTTTCCCCAAAAACAAATAGCTATTTTAAATTTTTATAAATATTTAGAAAAAATTTTAAAAATGTATAATTTTAAATAGCTAGTTGTTATTATCTTATTTTCCACACCTGAATGCCAATTTTGGTGAGAATCGCATTACCCATTCTCCCTTATTAGGCAAGCCTGTTTCTTTAAAACCTTTTTTCTCAGTTCGTGTGCATCGCAGGGAAAATCTACGCATATTGTTGGAAAGATATTTTCCTGTAGTTGTGTAGAATCCCCTAGAAATTCGAAATAGGCTAAAAATAAGAAAAAAATTGATTGAAATTAAAAATTAACATGGGTTGCCATTCTGGTGACGAAATAACAACGAATTTAAACAGAAAATCAAAACAAATGGAAGGAATTCCAGCAACGTTTCTATGGTTGATTTTAAATTTTTAGCTGATAAGAGAGCCAATAATTTGTTTTATTTACAGTGTGGGGGGAAATAGAGAATTCTGTACATTACATATTTTTGGTCGAGTTTTTGACCATTGGAGCTCGTCTGGTACATATAATTCTTTAGATTTGTATAAAAATACGCGTTTTAAATTAATTGGTCAATGAAAACTTTAGGAAACTTTAAGATGGTTTAGGATATCGGGATGGGTGGTAAAAATCCATATTTTGCGTTTTCGGGTAGATTTAAATCACATTGTATAAAGTTAGTATTTTGCTATTACCGGTAGCTATCGAGTTTCACAAGATGCGTCATCCAAATGAACTTATATTTGTATCATAAGAAGATTCTTTGCATATACAAGACATCCGTATATAAAGTGGCTTCAGTTGTTGCGCGAGAGCTAGTTTAAAAGACTACAGAAATAATATTAGGCTTCATATTCAGACATTATTCAAGTATCATTTCGACACCTTGGACAGCAGGTAAATATTGTAATAGATAAATCGTGGTCAACTCAGTTCAGGTAGATTAACTAAAACATAACAAAAGATCAATAACTAAGTATCCATGCATGTCCTGGGCATGTGGATATGTTACATCGTTGATTTCCGGAGCACAAAATGATTTTCTATGTTGTCACGCGAAAAAGGCTTTAGGCTGAGTTAATATTGCTTTGTTGTGAGTCTCGTCCCTCGGCGTGGAGTTGGGTGTTTGGCGTGCGCTTTGTAGTGGATTTAGTAAAATGGACTCACCAAACGTCAAATAATTAATAGTACTTTGCAAAGACACCATAGGAAGGTGTAGATGAAACGTCTGCTACAGTGACAGCGGCGCGGAGGTTGAGTGACGCTTTACAAACTAAGCGATGAAATCTCAAGTAAGATTGTGTTGTAAATTAACACCAAGCTGCTGACAAATAGTAGGTGAGTAATGGATTCCTTATGAATGTGTTTGTAAGACCAGTATAAAAACCAGTTCATATTACGATACCATTAGGCCCGAGCTGATGTGCACCAAACCATCAGTCTATCTAAAAATATATAAACATAAAAAATAGTTATTTTGTATAGACTAGTGATGTGATCTTAGGATAATCTTAGAACACTTCTTACAGTAAGTAAATAAAAACACGTATAATAACACTCTTGAAACACTTATTTACACTTATACTGTTAACTCACAATACGGTGAATACATAAAAAGATGGTAAGTGGTGATCGATTTCGATTAGACACTCAATCATAATCAGACCCAAAAAGTGAATGACAAGAACTTTGATGGGCCCCTACTTATATCCTATCGCTACCGGAAGTTTCGGGGTAAGAAGTTTCTTTATGTACAAAACTGGAGTCTAAATTTACTTGTTAATAAATAATTAGATAATTTATATTTTTAAATTTTATAAATATACAAATTCTTCCATCAGTTATCACATCCCCATTCTTTAAAATACATTGATTATCTTCCATTTTTCCTAACACCTCTTGTTTAATCTTTTTTATGTACATTTCACCGTCTTGTCTGTATTTGTCTATACTTATTAGTATATATGTAAACTGTATATTTTTCAATAGTGTTATTAGACGTGTTTTATTTACTTGCTATACAATTAATAACATGTACAGCGCTGACCAAGGATTTTTTAAAAATCTCTTAGCTGTAACCAATCAAACAAATACAATTTTCACAATATAAACATTTATGTATTTTATTAAACAACGTGTATTTTATGTATAGAGAAAACATTCAAGATGTTAACCAACCCGTTTATAGGGTTTTAACGTTCATCAAACTATTATAAGATCAATCTCCTTCATTATAGGAGTACAATCTTCTCCACAAACATTTCCTTAAAGATTTGCATACAACTATCTCCGCTGTACAAATCGACATCTTAACCCTTTTACACAAAACATGAATATTATATTCTTTTGGAAAAAAGTTAACTGATATATCACTTTTAAGGATAAACTAAACTTTAACTATATTTTAAACTTTAAGAATATATTTTTTATCAAATTTGGAAAATATATTTATACCATGCTAATCAATTAACATTAAAAATCCCACTGTAAAAACCTGCACGCCAAGCAAATTTATATTATCCTGGTATGATTTTCACTAAAATACTCCTATAAATTACAATGAAACTATCAGATTTATTTTCTAATTAAATAACAGTACTGTATTTTTGGTCTCTGGGGACGTCAAAACATAAAATGAAATTGGTCCCGGGTCCAGGTCGTACCATGACAGATATAAATCAATTTCGCTTGATTTGTATGTTTAAGATAAAATAAATGGAGAACAAATAACCAAGTTTTGTGGTGATGACATATTACAGAAGCAAAACAACGACAGCAGAGTAAATAATCAGGATGTCAAACGTCAGCAGCATTGACAGACCAGTTTAGTGACGTCACAGCCAACAGACTGAACCTAGTTGGTGCTGTCACTTGCTGTTTCAATCGTATACAGTAAGTACTGAGTCACATCATAAATAATACACTTAACCAGTTCTTATTCTCACTTTAAAACACAATATAAAGGTGGCTTATAATGATTGATTGTTAATCAAGGTAATTACGAGCTACGAGAAAGTTTTTCATAATATTTATGTTAATGAGTCTATTCTCAAGTCTATTTACAACATTCAACCAACTGTTATGATGGAGTGCATCAGAAGTTTTAAATTATTGTAAAAAAGACAAAAAGCCATTGTTTAAAATTGAGGTGGTGTGTGTCTGGGCAGCTGTCACGATTCAAATACTAAACCGATACAGCCAAAATCAAGCACAAAGATGGTCTAAATATCTAGGAATATCATAGGCTCATTCACTTCCTTGAGTTCCCTCAAGCTACGCCCCTTGGATGTCCAAAGTTTTGAGGTTAGGCTTTCAAAAGTAAATATGGTCTCCATTGAAGCATGAGAAAATTCTCAATGTTTACCTTTTGCGTTGACATTTAAATGTAAACTAGTGTACATGTTGCTCGAATTCGAGCAATTGCAAAGTATTACAGGAATTATTTCAAAACGAATAACAGTCATATTTACAATGTGTTTAAAAGACTCAACTCAATAAGATTACCGGTGTGTACTGTAACTCAGACCATGTTTATCTTCGTTATTGATAAACCTAAAGCATTCCGGCCGGTTTTCTCCTTCTTAAAATGCCTCGCTGTACAGGCAACACAGGTCGTGATAGAGAACTAATTGAGAACGAAAAGTCGTTTTGGGGTAGTGTTAAAGGGTGCATAGTTGAGTTTGTCCAGGGTCAGGTGCTGACTGTGATGAGTTAAGCCTATTACGCACCACACTGTTCTGTTTCTGTAGCTGCGGTCGTTATCACGATTACGCCTCCTGTTTATGTTTCGTTGTCGTCGCGTCGGAGGCATAAAAAACAACAAATAAACAAATCATAGCTACACAAAACAACGATGAATGCACAAATTTAAATTACAATCATGCTAACACGATCCGTCATAGCGACACAAAACAACGATAAATACACAAATTTAAGATACAACCATAATAACACGATCCGTCTTGGGGGCCTGTTTTCGGATGAAAAATGCAGTCTAAAAACTTGTTTATTCTTGATACTTTTTCCATAAAGCAACTCGTTTGATACAGCCTAAGAAAAAGGACTTCTGGTATACATTTTGCATCATGTAGCTCCTAAACGAGTATGTTTACAGCGAAAATTCATAGAGTAAATAAGTCTTTAAATTGCATTCAAATTCCAAAAAGACCATAAAATACCTAAAACATATTGATTATATTATTTAAAAAAATGGCACCAAGGTTGAAAAGTGTAAATCTTTGTATTTATGGTCTTTTTGGAATGTAGATGCAATTTTAAGACTTATTTACTCTATTTACTTCGTTAATAAAATGGTTTTAGTCTGAATGACATAAGCTTGGCAAATAAATACGTCTCTTTGCTAGATACTGAACCTGTCTGGCAAAGAAAAACTATTTGTGTGAATATATTCTACATTTCTAATCCATATAGTCAAGAAATTACCTCGATGAACTTTTGGAGAGGAGACGGTCGTCAGTTTACTGTTGACAGCCGAAGCAGCATATACAAAGATCTGTGGCAGCAACCACCCTTACCAGCCAAAAAGGCACCCCCTGTTGACAAGAGAAGTAACCGGGGTGCTACAGGTACTGTGCAGATTTAATTTGGTTAAGTTTTCTATACTCACTTAATCCTGTTAAATAACTAGTTAAGACTAAGCAAGGGCGGGAAACATCCATCCTCATTTTATACTACACTTCAAATTCTGCGCCTGTTATGATGAAGTGGATTAATTTGCACGCATAAAAGGCTGTTGTATAATGAGTTAGGTAAACTATTACAGTCGTTACAGTCACTTTTAGTGAATGTGGTTTGTGTTCTTACTAGTATGCATGTCACTTCTGGACTAACAAAACAAATTTATCATCTATAAACTATTCTTGAACATAATGAGGACAATGAATTGATTTGGTGTTCTTTTGCAGGTGGTTATGGGAATGATAAGTGTTCGATGTTCGATGCCCTCTACAGTTACCGTTTGTTGGGCTACTGGAGTGGACTCCTTCCTGTCCAGGGCTTGTTAGGAAACAACCCACAGCTTCTCAGGTAGACACAACACCCACCAATGACTTGACATCTGATATAACTTTAGCCCCTTCATGGTCTTAGCTAACAATGGCATGGTTTTGTATTTTCACTGTTTTCCAAAGATACAATTCTGTACAGAGGCAGTTCAACCACCTATATCTTTTACTAGGAAGGATGACCAACTCCTACGAACGAGGGTTGGTTTCAAAGAACAGTGCAGCGGATATCACACGTCTAAAAGCCAATGTTAAACTCAAACAGTCGTGCCAAACTTAGGAATTCTGCTACGACAGTCAATACAGTGCTTGTTCACAGACCATTCCTATCTTAACTCCTAAACATAATTTTTTTTATCTTTCAATATCTAAGTTATTTTATATTCTACAATTTCCAATACTTGTCTTTTTTTATAAAACAACATATTTCATATACGTAGAATTCGACGTTTTTGGAACAAAGCATTGTTACCAAAATATTGTTTTATTAGTATAACTAGACACTAAACCCAGCATCGACTGGCGGTAGACTAGACACAACCTTAGTCAAATCTTACAAACAGTCTAGTTAGTACAGTCTTGTACAAACTTTATTTGCTAACTTACATAAAACGTAACTAGTTTCAGATGGATAAGCAAAGAAACGACCGTAACTGCTATTTTTATCATGATTTTCCTATCTACAATAGTATACAAGATGTTCACAGCAATCCGGCATTCCAAAGTCGGAACCATTGGTAAGTAGTGGAGCATATTGTTACTAAACAAATTGCATAATCTTAATATAGAATTATGGTTGATAACATTGCATAACAATTGCACAACAGTTTTGTATTCCTGGCAAGCCCAAGTAAGGTTTCAATACTGCATCAATAGTTTCATCAGTTCAGTTGCACCAACAGGTAGTTTAGGTAAATAAAACTTTAAAACACATTAAGTATATATAGGCTTACTTAGTAAAATACTTAATATTTTTTTTCAGATTCTACAGCGTTAATTTTTGGACCTCTGTTCTGGGGAATTTTCACTCTAAGACAAGCGACACTGTTTCCTGCTCTGTTGAAGAAATGGACTAGAGTTGAAAAGGAAATGCAAACTATAGGAAGTATTTCTAAGCTCAAGACACATTTAAATATAATCACCGCTATAAACATAATCGCAACTCTCGGTAAGTTTAGTGTTCCAAAAATTATGAATTGAAATAAGGGACGTTAAAGATATGCCAATGGTGTATACAAGATTACATTTATTTTACTGACAAATAATAAAGACGAGTTTGTTTGAGAATTCAGCAAAATATTATCATGTTGCAATCAATGAAATATAGCCTACTTACTTACTTTCCGTGTCCGGAAATCAGACTTCGCTTTTCCAAAAATTAGCTACCGAAATGGCTTTGTCATTCACATGTAAAAGATCATCTAATGTGCAAGACTGGTCTAGGCATGGGCAGATCAGCAGATGGCCAGGATCCTGAACAGCACCACACGCGCACAAGATGTTTTCTTCGTCTGGTAAGAGACCCCATTTCTGCATGTTTGTCTTGCATTTTGGTACCTCGACTCTAATTCAATTTAGGGTCTTCCACACCGTGTAATGAAGGCATCCACCAGGAGCCAGCTCCTCCCTGGCTGGTATGGGAGGGTTAGTCAACGTGGCCTCCCACCTTGCCACCCGATTGCTTGAGAGTGATCCATCCAGGACTCGTGTTCGTGATAAAAAGCTCTTTCTGGACCGAAGCCGTCGGTCTGCAGGTTGGTGGCCGTGTAATGGGTGACGAGGGTCTGTCTCTTGCTTAGTCCTTTCTGCGTTGGCAGCGACATCACGTCGGATTGATGGAGGGGCGATCCCTATGATAGGATAGAGTTTGTGTACTGGGGTTTGTTTCAAACACCCAGTTACAATCCGAGCCATGCCATTGACTGCAATGTCAACCTTTTTTGCATGTGACCATGCATTCCATACTGGTGCAGCGTACTCCGCAGTCAAAATGAAATATAATTTTAATGTTGTTTAATGTTGTTTTTCTTCCAGGAACGATTGCATGTATAGAGATGGCGTGGTACGACCGCATCGCCCCTTGTACAGAAGACTTCATCGTTAAGCTTCAAGTAACTTTGCTAGCTTCGTTCAACAGCTTACACATCCCCGTCAATTATTTATCGTGGGCAGCACCAATAGCTTTTTTCGTCCACATTTATTACCGATTTATTTGGATGTTTACTGAACTAACATTTTTGGTACTTTCTTATTCACTCTATAGGCTTTTCAAACAGTATCAAGACCATGTAGAAAGTGTTAAAGGCAAGGTAAGTTTTGCATTTTTAAAGTATAGTATTGAATGTGTAATTACTGGACAACATTTTACCATCACAATATTTTTTTTTTAATTTAATTAATCATCTCAAGTAAATATACTTATGTGGACTGCTCATCACTAATTTCGGATTTAGTATATAATGGTTCACCTTAGTATAACATCGCCTTTGTGACGTTTTTATGTTTAGATATTCGTAATGCCGATTGGAAGCTAAAAGGCATTATAACTGTTAATAAATAAATAAATTAATAATAATTCTGATCCTGACTGATCATTGTGAGTAACAAAGCTACACAGATCATCTCACACCATCTCATCCTTCACTCATATTTGGGTTAAAATACGCACTTATGTGGCAAACCTATCTCAATTAATAGATAGTTGATCACCATCATTAGCAGTAACTGTCCCTGTACTTTGTAGGACATGAGTGCGCAGTTCTGGTACAAGATGCGCCTCCACTACAACTCCTTGTCTCGCCTCACCAAGACTCTTGACGACTTCCTTTCTCCAAACACATGCATTACATTTGCCGTTGACATTTTCTTCGTATGTTACTCTCTATTCCATGTGTTCAAGTAAGTTCTGAGTTTAACATTTGTTGTGATTACTATACCACGCTTAAATATATTTGAGGTAATTTGGGCCGAAGACCAACACCCCTACCAAATTTCAAAATTCTAGCTCTAATACGAGTAAGTTGGCATATCGCCAAATTCCAAGGACGCAACTATCAAAATGGGGTTTTTGAGGGGGTTGGAGTGAAGGTATGTGAATGGCGTAATGGAACAAAATGTACACTATAAAAAGTTATGTACGAAACATTAGTGATTTCATATAATCTTTCGTTTGTATACTTTTAAATTGAAGGGAATCTCCAAAGTCGAGATTTTTCATTCTAACAAAAATCATCCCCCCTATTTGAGAGTTAAGTAAGGTGATTAAAAACCTCCAATTGACTAAGAATTGACTTTAGACATGTGTTAAGAGGAATATATGATACAAAACAACAATGATAAAACCGTATCATATTGAACACCACATGTAGACACGAAAAATGTATTTTCAGATAGGCCTACAATAAAGTGTATTAATGCATGATGTAATCAAACTAAATAGGTACGGATGTTATTCTTAGTTTATAATAATTTATTGAATTTGAAAATTTACTATTGAATTTTGAAGACATATTTATGATCAAAGAAATATTTCTTTTATTGATGCTGTAATAAAAGGTGCGTAAAACGTTTGTCATGTTAAAGAATCATAAAGTTTTATATTCTTTGAAACCACCAAATTGAAGAAAAACTTTATTCAATACTTTGCACAAAGTTTGTTTTTGATTTCACTCAGCTTCAATAGTTCTAACGTGGGGTTGAATAAAAACGTACTATTGATCACAAAAATTTGTGTTACATCTTCTGTTCACAATATCTTAATCAGTTTATTTAAAAATAAATGCATTTTAATTTTTTACTTGTAGTGTTATTCCATGAATAAATTTGTGTACCGTCATAAAATAAGCTGAATTAGCAGTTACATAAAGGTCGATTCAAACTTATCAGTTCCGGCACAGTTCCATCATTGACCAGTCACAGTTCAGTCTCAGTTGAAATTTCTCAGTCAAACTGTTAGTCATTTGGTTTCATTCAGTCTTCCGTCACTGTATTTGTACGTCCGTCAGGCGTCTGAATGATCCAAAAATATCGTTGAAAGAAATCTGAAATTGACTGCCGGATGCCGGCAGAGCAACTGACGGACCTGGGTCGGAACCGCGCCGGATGAGTGTAGATAACGCAATACAAAAAATCCATTAAAGAATATCTTTGTTGGCTCTGACGTGACTGACCTGTGACGTGACGAAACCGATATGTGTGAATCGACCTTAAACATGTCTCAAACGAAGTATAATAAGTAGCCTATGCATTGATTGCCTCATCATAAAAAAAATCCAAACAATAAAAAAATAAAACTGAAATAAGAAACTGCGATATTGAATTTTGTTCATTTTCATTTTGTATTATTTATTATTCACACACTATAAATAATATTGGATATTTATGGTAACATTTTAGCTTACGCAGCTACTTCAATCTCACTCAAAAGCTTACGATTGAGTGGCAATTTGTGAAAAATACAGTCACGCAACATACAAATTTACCAAACAATCAGAAAGATTATAATATAAAATGGTTTATGTAACCTTTTGCCTCAATCGATCCGTGATGTAGTTAGAAACAACTACAGGTGTTTCATGCCGCTCGGGAACATCTTCAGGATGTAGACAAAATAAATATTCTTTCTTTTTTTTATTATACGTGGATGAGCTTGTCAAGAAATACTGTCTATGAAACGCAAAGTACACAAATATAACCTTGAAAACGACACGAATTTACAGACTTGGCCAAGTAAGGAACACACGAGATCTGTGGATCATAATGTGTTCATGTGTTCGTTTAATGGACATGTCACCTAGGATGACATTTACTGTCATTGGTTGTCAGGATTGTAGGGACAATTACTGGCCAGAATGTTGATGTTAACTGTTTTTGAACTGAGCATAAAGTGTTCGACAAGACCATGCACAACAGCTCACGTCGTTAAACAGTAATTTAAATTATTCAAACTAGTGGGTGTGTCTTTATTTTATTTTTTTATCAGGATATAATGGTTTTCAGACGAATCACAACATAAAAAAGGCTAAATTTGATCTGTCTCTATTGGTAAACTTTAACATAAGTAATGATTTGGTTGTTTTAATAAAATACTACTGAAATAAAATAAAGTAATTTGTCAAAGTCATAAAGTAATAAAGTGTCTTTGTGTATAATTAAACAAACTATTTTACGTGACATGTGTTGGTTTTCCAGGAGGAACCCATTGACCAACAAGAAGCTAATGTATTTCCTCTGCTACAACGTGTCTCGAACACTCTCCATAGCTCTGCTGGGGTCCTACATCAACGACCTCAGCAAGAAGCCACTCTTGGTACTGTACAGCGTCCCTTCCAAGTCCTTCTGCGGCGAAGTAAGTTGACAAATATATCATTTTATACCCTCACTCACTACGTCATTCTAGCTTGTATTTCACTATCTGGTATCATAGATAAAACATTGGTATCTTGTTACACTAGACTATATCACACTGTTAGAATGTATCTCGAATAATCTGTAAACACGCAAATTCAGAAATAAAAGTAACTAGCTGTGTGCCCGTTCTACGCACGGGGATCTTATAGTACTGTAGTCAGTTGAAACCTTCTTATATAAAGAACCAGTTGGTTTGCATATAATCTTCAGATATGAAAATCATCAAATGGCTCGGATAAAGCTTGAAACTTAGTTGTAAGTACTGATTCTGGCTTTGTTATTTAACCGTGTAACTACTAACTACATACCATTGAGTATATCTGGCCGTCTTGTTGAACATTTGATTAGTTTTAAGCTGATTCATTTAATATTTTGTTTCATTAACCTAATGAAACTAATTTACATAATTCTAACAATAACTTTGTTTCAGGTCTTGCGATTCCAAATGGAGATTCTGGCAGATGATATTTGTCTTACAGGATGCAGATTCTTCTCAATCACTCGTTCCTTTATAATTACGGTGGGTTTTGGCTTGGTCATTTTTGTACAATAATTTAAACTAAAGAATTGGGAATTCGTTAACAGCAAGTATCTTTCCTTTGTTACATTTACAGGATCTCAAAATAAATTTGTAATTCTAAATCAAGTCAAAACATTTCATAGAATTAAATCTAAACATTTTCTTGTGGACAGCAAGCTCAACATTGTATCCCACTTCGCAGAGAAGAAGTAATGAAACCTCAGTGTGTTTGGTAAAATTACATTTATTTACATTGCCAGTTATTTACATTTTATCCGTATGATTTCAGGTCGTAGGCACTATAGCCACCTACGAAGTAGTACTGATTCAGTTTAACACTCTCCAAAATGAAGAATTTGAATTCACGTCTTTCTGTTCAGCATTTACTTCATACAATATAGTCCCATTAAACAATTCTATTACTTAGACTAGCTAAATCTATTGTACTTTTCTTAAAGACACTTTTCTTGTTAGAGGTTAATTGTTCTATACATGCCTGTTATAAGTAGTAATTTGTTCGCCTCAATAAAGAATAATTTGTATGTTATTATTTTATTTACTTCGGTAATATTTTTTATGTTTTTTAGTTGTCATTGTCATTTTGTTATATTCATTGGCTGACAGGATTTGAGCCATGGGCCCTCAGATCAGAAGTGACTTCACATCAGGAATGTCCCTTTCTTTGGGAAAAAGTATAAAATGGAACAAAGAACCGAATGTATGGAAAAAGTAAAGTTCAAAAGTCAACTGTCATAAAGAAGTTGTGTTTCAATTTGACAACCTAGAAACACAAACTTGCATACCTTGTCAAGTCACTAAATCACTAAATTACTTTCTTTATTCAAACTTCCATTCCTAACAAAGTTTAGATTGGATTTTAAATTTGCATGAGGATTACATCTTTACAAGGTTTGCTGACTTTAAACACCAAAGTAGAACCGTAATGTAGCGTTGAGTCTTATAGTCTAAATGTCTTTAAGGAAATCTACCTCGGTTTACATCTATATCTATAAAAGAGGAAGTATGTATGTATGTACTGTATGTATATACCCTATGGACTCTGAAACTACCTGACAAATTGTAATGAAACTTTCAGGCATTATTAAACATTATTCAAGGATGGTTTGTGTGAAGTTTGGTACAGATCCGTCTAAAGGGCTCCGCCCTAGAGGGTTTTATGGAGTCCAATGTCAGACTTTTGGAACTACAATGTTTACAAATAAATATAATTTAATACCCCCGCCGCAGCAAACCTGCTGACTAAGCGAATTTCCATTTGTCTGAATTGATTTTCAGTTAAATATATTTTAATAACATTAGGTTTAACGAGTACCTAGGTTTGCTGCTACAAGGAAACTAATAAAGTGTGTTTTTGAGTAAAATATTGATAGCTTAGTACAAAATAAATAAATTTGCCAAGTTTGATCAAAATATATCCATAAACAAGCAAACTACATTTGACAATATTCTCCATAAGAATAACATGGGAATTTTAAATTTACAATTTTTTTAATTTTCTCCGTTACTAATAATCAAACAAAAATACTTTTATATACTAAATTATTTATTTTGTAAGCTCTTTAAAAAGGTCTAAAGAGAAATCGGGAAATTTTGTGTTTTGAGGGTCAAAAGTGAGAAAACCCAATTTTTACCCCATAAAACCCCCGGAAAGCCCCGTTCCCATGGTCCGATCGTGCTGGTTCGCGAAATCATTCAAGTTTATCCTGCTTTACACCTTTAAACCAAATTTCATCAAAATCGGACAAAAATTACTCAAGTTATCGCGTTCACGGACGTATATATATATATATATATAAAAGTCTATATATATATATATATATATATATATATATATATATATATATATATATATATATACATATATAAAAATTTGAACGAATGGTGTTTTTGGCCTTTGGGGACATCAAAATGAAAAAGTAAATCGGTCCCGGGTCTGGGTCTTACCGTGCCACCTACGGTAATAGCTACTTCCCTATAGGGAAATTCGCTAAAAGCAGATGTTTACCTTCACCAACTGTTTTGCAGGTTTGAATAATCATAAAATTCTGTATTAGCATTGACTATATACCATAACTGGATATAATTATGGTATATAGTCAATGGTATTAATCATGATTTTAAATAGTGCCACACTGTTTTTACAGAATGCAGCACAGAAAACTATTTTACTTTTGGATAAGTCCAAATATATTAAACTCCAATGACAGCACACCTGTGCACTCAACAACGTTTAAATCTCCACTATTAAATACGTAAACATAACAAGTAAAAACCTTTATCAAAGTATTATACACTATAAACGGATGGCCAAAGCCTTAATATTTTTATCTTTTGTTCTATACCCACATAATCTAACATAAATTATTAAGTTAATTGTAATCGTGCGTGCTATCTCAGGTATTCAAATGCCTCACAATTTGTCATTAACCCACCACATTACTGTCATTAAAAGAAGGAACTCCAATTATACTAATGCGAAACTTAAATCTACCCAAGATGTGCAGCGGAACCAGACTGACGATAAAAAGATAACACCAAACGTGATTAAAGCAACAATCATCAGTGGTAAGTTTAAAGGGGAAATAGTTTTAATTCCAAGAATACAGATTATTTCATGAATACCCTTTGAATTCAAGCGACTACAATTTCCTTTGCGTCTTGCTTTCATAATCACCATTATATAATAAGGCACAAGGGCAATCCCTGACTATCGCTGGTTTAAATTCAGAAAATGCATGTTTTTCACACGGACAGCTGTATGTTGCGTGGTCACGTGGTAGTAGGTACGCCTAATATGTGTATATTTATACACCTAATGAAAAAATAAACATTGTTTATGCACTGACAATTAATAAAATAAATATTCTATTTTTGTTTTTGGTATAAATTTGTATTATTTATAGTAAAGAACAAATTACCATTTAAAATAATAGTTGTCAGCGCAGCAACGCGTGCCGGGTAACTGATAGTAACTTTATTAAAAATATATACAAATTAATCTGGTGAAACGTATTGTTCACATCAATAAATTCGTAGTCATACTTTAAAAGGGATAAGTTACACCGTTAGTTATGTGTGTATTTTTTAACAATAATCATTTACATTTTTACTACAGAGCCTGTTAAAAATTATTCAAACATTAATTTTAAATAATTATAACCTAGCAAGAGTGTTGGGTAAATTTTAATAATTTTTTGAAGGAAGTCTAATAGAATAAGCAATGAGTAACTAAAACAATACTGCAACAATTACTCAAAAATCCACGAAATGTTGTGGGCTGTAAATATTTAACTTCCTAGATTAGCTAACTTCTACTTACCAGGACAGTGATATTACATTTATATACATAAGTATTGTAAACACGCAACATCGTTTTGTAAAATAAAAAGTTATTCATAAGTCTCATAACGTGTCGACGTTTTTTAAACGGGAATAAAATATTTATGTAGCTAAAACAGTTTTACAATCAACTGTTCCGATATCAAATTAGATAGTTTCCTCCTCAGGTAAAATATGACAGATCTTTCCATTTTACGCGCGCCAGAGGATTTTATTGATAGCTGTAAAATGTTTATGTCCGTTGTTTTAGTGTCATCTATAGTGATGTCCGTCCATTCTCACCGATCACACCATTACTGTTCTTCAGTCCATTCTTCCATCTGCAAAATGTTTGTGCGTGTTACGTGTAACAAATTGAAAAACACGGCTTTTAAAAAATTATTCACTAAAAATTATTAGGGAAAAATATAAGCTGCAAGTGGATGTTAAACTGTCAAAATAGACGCAAAACAAAATAAACACACTTTTTTATGGGAGAAAAATTACTTAAGATACCTTATTATAATAATGGCCTAACCGAAGTAGGCCTACAGCGGATAGTTCAGTTGGTCGACATTGGCTTGTATCGATGTAATAACTAGATACATACACTAGCTCCAAAGACCCTTAAGGGCCCCTATCTTGTTGTCTAATTCTGGCTAATTGATTAACTTAACCTAACAAGCGATTTATAATTGCTGAGCGTTTCCTTTATTAATGTTCATGAGTATGAATGATCGTCAAGGTAAATTACTACATGAGGAAATATAAATAATTGTGAAATAATAGTTTCCGTCTGTACACACCAGCTAACACGCTACAATAGGCATCTAGCAATGCTGGTAATTTACTTTATGATGACAGGAATTCTATCACGATTATGTGTATTGGAATATTATTACAATTGCAATGACCCACAATCTTAAATGTTCTAAAAATAAATTGTACGTCGTTCAATTCATTACTTTATGTTTTTATAAATGAACTGACCTATATGTTTTCGATTATACTTTATACCTGACAACAACAGGTTGTCAAAAAATGTAATAATGGTCTACTGATGAATACAGATTGCTGCTGAAACAATCCTTATCCGGAAACGAATTGGCACCTTCTGGTTTAAAGGCACCACCACAGCTCGTTAGTGAAATAATTGCATTAAACTTACACAGAGAATAATGATACGATTTGAAAGTGTAATCTGACGGAATAGTTTGATTATCGAAGGTAACAAGTTATAACAGGTACAATCATAGATTAAATTGTCATCTCCTTGCAGCAATGAAAAACATAATACATAATTGTCCTTTAACGTTAAGCCAATCGAACTTCATTTATAAAAAGGGCTTTTGTTGAGAAACACGATATTTGCATATGGCATTAATAACATCTAATTGTGCAATATTTACATGTCCTAATAGCTTTTCATGTAAATACTTATATCTCAGTCTAGGGAAGCTAAATCAAGTGTCGTCTTTAGTTTGGAAAATGTACAGATTTTTTAGGTGTCTGTATATAAAGTTATTTATAAAATAAAAAGCATCATTAAAATATGTTGTGAAAATTGGGAATTACCAAGTTGTATGATTCTAAATGACGTATGACTACATGTCGAACTAAAGTACTATTCGATATTATTTTACAATCTGCTATCGACCGTCAAGTACGTTAACAGTACATGTATTTCAGCATTCTTCACCTGAAAATCCTATATGATGATTGAACCATTCCCCCATTGAGGCTATCTTGTTAATTTGGGTGTGTTAATTGTGATTAAAGTGTTTAAGACTTGTAACATGTGTTTATAACAAGCCATCCACAGTACACTAGCACATTACAAAGTACAGTACAAGGGGAAAAACATCAGTTGTTACTATTGAGCAAAGATTACACTGAAGATTACTCGATTCGATATAGGTGAAAATAGTTCCAATCAAATAGTGATTACTGTATTTTACTTTGCTCTCTCCTACCAAAACCTAATCCCCGAAGAACTGAGGCAATTTTGTAAATTTTGGTTTAAGATGGAAATAAATATTTAATAATATTATATTTATTTTATGTAAATAAAAATTTAAACACAAAATTTCAATTAGCTGTTTTAATTTAAACAAACTGTCAAAACAATGTTTATGCAAGTATAGGCTATTATAAACAAGTGATCTTTACCATCGAATGTAAAATAAATTAATGTGTTGTGGATTGCCAGGTTTAAATTGCCTTCATTAAAAATTATACTGAAACTTTAACAATAAAAAACAAAATTAGTACAGTAATAAATAAATCGAGAGTTTCCTTTACATTGCTTTTACAATATAAATGAACTAAACCGGGCCAAGGCTCGGTCCCCTAGTACTACAGTACATATACCTTTATCAATTGGTATACATTTATGGTAAAAATAATATAATTGAATTTAAGGACAAATAATCCATCTGGTATATATATACTTCTTTGCAGTTGCTAAACACAATATTGACAACGAATTTTAACAACTAATTATGGATTGGTTATTTACTAACAGTTTAAATGTTTAAGTCATGAATATTAATAATTTAAATTTTAAACACAGAGTGACGATAACCATATCAAAGTTTCTGTACGATTGGCAATAAAAAAATAGCAATCACTCGTAAGAATGTAAATACAGGGTGTTAGGTAGTCAGTGCCAAAGATTTAATGGTATTATTATGCACGCAAAACGCGATGTTAATACGCAATTCTGATAGTTATATCTCACTCCTCCTCGCAGAAAAAGCAATTTTAGATTTTATTTTAATCTTGACATTGTCTAATTTTTTAATGTAGCTTCTGTAAGATTTTTATGTCTTTCCAACCAGTATATTTTAAAATTATCTGTAAAATTATTAAAATTTCAAACATGTGCAATATTTATTTCATTGCCAATAACTTATTTTTGTAAAACACTCTATTTTCATGCATTATTAAATACACTTCAACTAATTTAAGCTGTACTAGATTATTAGGTTTTACAAGTTCACTCGAGGCATACTTAAATATACAACTACCTCGGGAAAACTACTTTCAGTAACGGCGTGGCGTTCTGGTAAATAATGGCGTTCGATGAAAAATTAATTAAAAGTAGTTTAACTTAATATGGCTTCTCATAGGATATCACATGCTTTCATCACTAGATTAAAATGCAGAGAAGATTTTTATATCATCTAATAATTTTTAACAAGACCTATAGGGAAAAAAATCATAATTAATGGAGCTCTTTTTATAGATTTTTCATAACATTTTATTAAAGTCAAATTTACCTGGTTTTAAATATATTCGACCCAGGGGCGTCATTTTGGGGGGGGCAGGGGGGTATTTGCCCCCCTGGTTCCTAGGCTAGAGAAAAAAATGTTGTACTAGCTAATATACAAATATTTTCTCCTGGCAAATCCTAAAAACCACGGCAGACAAAAATCTGCCTATTCTTCTACAGTAATTTGAAACAAAAATATAATTTTTTAGTGTCTCAGTAGCATATTCAAATTAATTGTGTCAAATTATTTTATTGATAATATAATATTATATTGATAATATATAATGATTTGCTTTTAAGTACTTAAAAACCTGTCTTTTATTTAAAACCCAAATTAAACTGTTATAAACTATAAGCTATGAATATAACCGTATTCATTGCTATAGGTCTAAATGTTGTACAAGAGAATTTGGTCATAATTATAATAACAAAAAATAATATTAATACACCATGGAACTATTGATCATGTTTCTTAGATGACCAACTTACCAACACATTTATATGTTTCTATCTGTTGTCAATAATTGTTAGTTTCACTAATTTTCTGCCAAAATTTAAATAAATGTTACTGATAATTTTGTTTTTATTCAAAGTGCTTTTGACAACTAAAATTTTTTTGTTTCAAAACTGCTAAATTTTCCGGGGGAGGAGTTTGCCGGACCCCCCCCCCAGTGTTTGCCCCCCCCCAAGGATTGGGTGAAATGACGCCACTGATCCGACCCTAAAACTATACTTTTCCCGATAGAATATTTAATACAGAATCGAAAAAGACATTGAAAATATAATTTATGTTAGCTAAAAGTTGAAAAATGAGATTTTTCCTACAGTTACCTAACAAAGTGGACTTCCTTGCACTGATTATAACATGCCAAGTAGCTAATTGATGCATTTAATTCCTTTTACCGCACTCATTTTCTTTTGCCACACTCCAGTATTCCAACCAAACAACACAAAACAGTGTGCTTTTATTACGAACGTAATACGCGTGCGCTTGAAAATAAGTTGGCAACCCTTAAAGATACTATGACTACTTCGCAAACTAGTTACACAATAGTTATTTGTGTAACTAGTGGGTGAAGTGGCACTTTGCTGCACACGAGAGAAATATAAAGGTTCTCGAGTGCAGCAAAGGCAGTTTGCACTCACGTTACACGTTATATATTTCCTACAGTTACTGATGTGTCCATTCCAAATGTACTGACTTATACTATAATTGTTAATTTACATAGCCTATGTTGTATGTTCTGTTCATTAGTTATTGTTTATAAGATGATTCAGTTACATAATAGAATTGTGATTAAATAAAGAAAAATGGAGTTACTACATTTAAATGTTACTTACATTATTAAAATATCAAACAGTTACTATAAAGCATATAAATAATTAGTCTTTCAAACACTGTACAACACGTATTTAGGTTAGGTTAAATCCAAACATTGAACGAAATGGTAAACGCTGCACCAGCTGATCGTAGTCGTAATATCTTTAAGTGTTGCCAGCTTATTTTCAAGCGTACATGTATTACGTGCCTAATAAAAGCACGCAGTTATGTGTTATTTGGATGGAATACTGGTGAGCGGCAAAAAAGAAAAAAAACTGTGCGGCAAAAGTAAGTAGATGCAGCAATTAGCAAATTTCTGTGCTTATAATCAATACAAGGAAGGCCACTTTGCCATGTGACTGTAGGAAATAACTATTGAATGGGCATTGTCAAGAAATTTAGAAAAATATAATGATGGCTGTTTTAGGATTTAACTGTTTTAGGATGGCTGTGTGAGATTTAACTATTTAAATTGTATATCCTTATCGAAGTTTGCTTTCATAATAGTAGGTACTTAAAACTAAAACTTTGACCATGACTAGCAAACATCCTGTAAGTAGATGTTCTTTATTTATGGAAGACCAGTCTTAGGTAAAAAACCCGATTTTTGGACTTCTAAATATATGTTCCTGAACCAACAATTGAATTTCACACTATCAAAAGCTGTACCACAACCGGATACAAGCGTCTGTACAACCTAAATCAAAACTATGTTTATATTACACGTAAATTAAATGGTAACGCCTAATACAACATTTAATTTGACAATCACATCACTTGGTTTTCGTAGATATATCAGGAAAATCCAAGTTCGTGCGTCACACTGTGCAACCATCCATAACTCCGGAGTCTTCGGCTATTTTCTCACATCCATCTGCTCGAGTGCTAATCACGCAAGGCCGAGTTGCACCAGCTGGAGGTATATAACAGCTGACTACTACTGCTGGTAGCTACAGAACACAAACACACCAGCACCAGTATGTACGCAGTTGTATTGTTAGCGATAGTGGCGCTGGCGGCGGCAGAGGACGGCTACACGACCAAGTTTGACAATGTGGACATTGACAGCATCCTACAGAACGACCGCCTGCTCAAGAACTACTTCAACTGTTTGATGGACAAGGGACCCTGCACTGCTGATGGAAACGAGCTCAAAAGTAAGTAGAGAAATATGTATCTACTATAGATGTGTAATGTATATTTGTATTTCATAGTAGCATGTTGCAATATAATACAATTTTACTTACTTGCCGGTATACATGAGGTTCACACGGGAACTCAGAAACAGGAAGAATAAAAGTGGTTCTTTATATATGCTGTATTATATAGTTACACATCCCTAATTTATTTTGTGTTTCTAAGCTAAGGCTCCCTATTAAGGTGTATAGGTGGCACTGAGACACGTTTAAAAATTCTGCAACTATATATTTTTAATTTGAAAAAATATACTGTATACCATTACATAAATTTAAAGTCATTAGATTCCAAAGAGTCATAGAATTATATAGCGTAACAATACAATAAAATAATAATTAATAATGTAATAATAAAAATAATAAAATAATAAAATAAATTAATAATAATAAAATGGATATGTCCCATCAGAATTTTTCAATTTTAGTCAGGCTTCATTAACTGCAGCTCTTTTCAAAGCTAAATAATGCACAGCTCAACCTTTCATCAATGAAAATAACAAGAAGGTTAATTAGTATAAATATACAAAAGAAATACGTCCCAAATGTTTTAACACGTCCAAGGTGTTGGATAAAACATGTTAAAACACCTGAGTAATACTAATGTGCTACTTCAAAAGATTAAGGTTTTCTGAACTAAACATTATAATTATTACATGTCAGTTGTCTGAATTTGTTATCTGTAGTTGCATCTCTGTCATTGCAAACCTTCGTCTCACCTTGTCCAATAGTTTCCACCTGATGGAATATTAGACTAACTCACAAACAGGCAAACTTTTCCATTTAAAATATTCATAGAATATTTATAATGATTTTAGTTTAATATATTTCAATTTTGGAAACAGTAAATAGTAGGAAAAAGAAAAAAACTTTATTAAATTTAAAAAAATGTGTTAGGATTTAGTAGATGGATTATTGACTTCATCGTTTGAAGAGAAATGTTATTATAATAAACTAATTTTAAGTACTGTATTAAAAAAAAACTCGACTAAATTGTTCTAAAATGATGTTTATTAACAGATTTTTAAGACGATATAAAAAGTGTTAATACTTTCCTGGATGTATGAATAACATTTAATCCTAACACAATATAAAACTTCCGACATAGCATTAGTCCATATTTTAAAATTCCCCATTGTATATTATACTTTAAAATGTATATTTGTGTGATACTTTACGAGATTTTGATTAAACTTACAATTTTTATCCTCTAAACATAAAAAGTTAAAAAAAATAGAAATATTCCATTATGTGTATAAATACAGTTGGCATTAATCAGTAATTATTTTTTAAACCTGTTTGAGTAAAACTCGATTAAAACCGTGTTAATAATAATGCACGTCAATAAGGGTTTTAGTAATAATTTATTGTCATTTATCAATATTCTTACTAAGAGGTAAATAATAAATGTTTTATGATTTTCAAATAGAGGTATATGTAATAAAAGAAATCACAAACATTTATTCTTATTATAATGAACTTTTTTATGAGAATTTAACAACAACTTTGAACCGTTGGGTAAAATTTGAATAAATTGATTGAATCACAGAGGAAAGGTATAGAGAAATCATTAAATGGTCCACTTATGTGGTGTCTTAAAATTGATTAAAATACAAATTATACTCAAACACTTAGCTCAATTATGATTTACTCGGTTCACAGAGAACCTGCCCGAGTCACTGGAGAATAATTGTGCCAAGTGCTCAGAGAAGCAGAGAGCCAACTCCGAGAGAGTTCTCAAGTACATCTACAAGAACAAGCCGGACATGTTTAAGGAGCTAGAGTCTAAGTACGACCCGAACAACAAGTACAGGTAAGGGAATACGGGTTAACAATGAACATATGTATATGCATGTAAGTGACTTACGAGCACAAATAATAATGCAATAATTAATTAGACAACAGCTGCTTCCGTGAGTAAAAACACATTAATCATAAAAAATCTGAACAAAATGAAGGATCTTTATAAGGCCTATGGTTATTAGCTAGTGATATTTGAAAGAACACTGTGTAGAGAGGCCACATATACACCTGTGTTTACAACACACTTTTGAAACAAAAGCTTAAAGCAATCCACGGTACAACGGTCAAAATGTTGTCATCATACAGCAATTGGTAAAGATCAAAGAATGTTATAAATGTGTTTTTACAGCCTATGTTTATGGTTTACACTTGCGTATTTAACTAAATGTTTATATTTGAAAAGACACAATTATTTATAAATACAAAAGATTATTTTGAACAATAATTTTACAAAATTTAAAATACCTAGAGGTAACGATGATTGGTCCTAATATGTTTCAAGCTTCACATGAAATAGTCTTAATTAACACACACTGATTTTTGTTTGTAGGAAGCTGAAGGAGTCGATTGAAGGAGAGGAATGAAGAAGATTCGTCAGTTGATCAAAATTAACAACTAACGATCAATGGAAAATTTATTTTGCAATTTATTCACTTATTTCTCTGTAAGATAATGTTCTTTTCCTTAAAAAAATATCAATTTTATCTCACAGCAATATTATTGGTGTACTTGTATGTCTTATCCTCATAGCAAACTTTCCAAAATACTCGTATATTAACATCATAGCGAGTATTATCATTGAAGATATGACATATGATATATCATTAAATGGTATTATTTAGCTTCCAATTTGTTTATATTTCTGTCCAAAAGATAAAATTAATGTTTGACTAGTGCAGTTGGTTACCAACCTCATGGAGTAGTCGCGCATTGACAGTCAAATATGTATTTAGATATTTATATGATATGGAAAGGAATGTGTCATAGTTAAGGGTAGGAATAAGTATTGATTCTCATATATTTGCCTAGTTGGTTCTGGGTCTGATTAATATATCCAAAATTAGCAAGTAACCGAGGATTTCTGTACCAAAATGTCAGTGATGACACCAGCCGTGTCACATCAATGGTTGTGGATTTACACTAGACTGGGTGTAAAACATGACGTTTGTGGTTCATTCAAATGGCCACATCCTGTGGCTGTTATTACTGCGAAGTAAATAATATATAATAATAAGTCTTATAATCAGATCATTAAACCTATTGAAGTTAGCCATGTATAATAATAGAATGGCCGTATCCACGAAGATCGTATAATATACAGTGTGATTAAAAAGTCCCGGAACGGTGTAATATATTTTATACTACAGGGTGATTCAAAAAGGACTTTACAAATTTGAAAATTCATATAAATCTTATTAAACAAGGTACAGAGCTGGTTTTGGTGTTGTTTTAAAGGAAAACACTTAAAGTTTTTTTTTTACCTTAACTAAAGATGTTCTATGTGACTTCCGTTGGATTTGGGGAAAATAATTATTTAGGTATGAAAAAATAGTGAAAACCGTTAAAAATGTGAGAGAAATTTACAAAATTTTGAAAGTAGGTCGTTTTTGACGGTGAAGGAGTGCGATACACCCACTTCTAGATGTGATAGGGAGTTGAAATTTCGCACACTTGTAGTTCTTGGTCCCAAACCACCCATAAAATTCCAAAAAGTCGCATTTTCAAATTTAAAACCCCCAAAAATCCAAAATGGCTCAAACAACGACAAAACACGTTTTTTCAACCAGCTATAGCTTGAAAACGGTAAGAGCTATAAAAGATTTGAGGAAAAAACGTAAGTTTGGAATTAAATTTCCTACAAGACACTAATTATGCGTTTTTCGAAAATCGCACTCCTTCACCGTCAAAAAACGCCCTACTTTCAAAATTTTGAAAAATTAATGTATTATAGATAAAGGAATGAAACTTGGTAAATCAATTATAGTCATAAATATTTTCTCTTTTGCTACTGTTATTTTTTATCCCTTAAGGGGGACGGCCCACGAGGAGTCCAACGACATTCTTCAATAGCAGCATAGGTCGAGTTTGGTATCAAATTAACGGTCTCCGCTATTAAAATACAATACCACAAATCCAAACTCAAACGGACAATGGAGTCAAAAGTTACTGCTGTTCTTAGATTCCTTAAATTTTACTATACTACAGGCGCCCGCTAGAAGTCGAAAGAAAATCATAAACGTAAGCATAGGTTGATATGCACATCTCATTAACGGTCTTTATTAGTAAAATACAATGCCACAAACCTGAGTTTAAAATAACAGCTGGGTAAAAAATGGCGGCCGTTCAAATATTCAAAATGGCAGATTCAAGAAATATTTGAACAGCTCCCATTTTTTATTGAGTTGTCCGTTTGAGTTCGAGTTTGCAGCAATGTGTTTTACTAAATAAGACCTTTAATTTGATACCAAACTTGACCTATGCTGCTATTTGAGAATTTTGTCTTACTCCTCGTGGGCCGCCATTTTAAGGAGGTAAAAAGTAATAATAGCTTGATAGACTAGATATTTATGGTTATTGTTGATATACCAAGTTTTATTAATTTAACCATAATGGTAAAAAATATATTACACCGTTCCGGGACTTTTCAACCACTCTGTATGTTTATTTATTTAAAAACCAATAAAATATAAATACTTGATCGTTTTAGTATAATCAGACGTAATAGCACTCACTTAGTGGCCATTTATCCAACAATTCGCGGAATATATTCAAAGGGATGAAACTTGAAAATTGCCGTTTCTCGTTTTGAATAGGCTTAATTAACCTCACTCAATCTCAGTTGTATTAATGTTTACAACTTAGTAATGAAATATTCAAATCCAATCACAGCAAACCTATAAGTATGCTTAATGTTCATATTTAAAATTCATATTTCAAATTTGAGTCCACATAATATTGAATTGAGAATACAATAATTACTTAAATAACGGTTAATTTGATTAACGAATACTGTTTGATTAGTTCATCAGTTTGAAATCAATTTAATAGGTTAAAATAAAATAAAACCAGATCAAAAAACTAATCATCATATTGCTTTTGCACGTTGCACATTGTTAGTTGACCATAATTATATGGTTGTATTAAAAACAGAAATTCGGCTAAAAGCGTTGTGGTTATTATAACAATAACAAGTATCCGTTAGTTTATAGTCAGCAACGAATATTTTTTTACAGTTTTTAACGATGAACCAAAGTTGACATTCATGAAATTGAAAAAAAAACAAACTATAATGCTATCATATAAAATTGTATAACACAAGATAGTAGCTATCAGAATATTGTATAATTCATATTGGAATTACTGAACACTACATACAGTCGTTTTAACAACTAACGTTAAATCATTATTAAAACACTCCAGTCATATTTCACTCTTACATAATAGCAGGTTTCATTAATTGGATCTAAAATGACCTTTACACTAATTATACTAACAGTGAGGTGAGAATTTTCCTGTGATTTGCTTCAAATTACAACTGAAAAACAAACCTATTTTATAAATTTAGATGAAAATTAATTAATTTTCCATCATTAGTAAACGCTTTTTTATTGTTTAATTTTTTTCGGCCTATTGCCTATTTTTCACTAAAGAGTTAGAGGACAAAGGGCCAAATTATTCAAGTATGGTAATTTACCAGGGAAATTAAGACGTAAGGGTAAAGGGAAGACCACATATTACGAAACAGTGCATTGTAAGCATTGCACCAAATTGGTGGAATCGTAACTTATTGCATAAGAACGTTTTCTTAAAGTTTTTTACGTTACAAAGCTTTTTTTTGTTTGCCTTCAATATATGGTAAAAAGGCTGTAATGTAATGTAACTGACTAAAGTTGCAAATCGGACCTCAAATGGACAATCGAGTCAAAAATGACAGCTGCTCAAAAATTCATTGAATTTGCAATGCCATTATACGCTACCTCTTCAGGGGAGTGCCCACTAGAAGACGGAAGAAAATCGTAAACGTAAACATATGCACATCAAATTAAAGGTCTTTATTATTAGAATAAAATGCCACAAATTTGAGCTCAAGAGAACGACTGAGTTAAAAATGGCGGCCGTTTAAAGATTCAACATGGCAGATTCAAGAAATCTTTGAACGGCTGCCATTTTTGACTCAGTTGTCCGTTTGAGGTCTAGTTTGTTTTTAGTTCAATATAACCATAAAATTTAATGTGATATACATATCAATCTATGCTTACATTTAAGATTGTTAACCTACTCCCAATGGGTCGTCCCCCATAGGTGACATCCGATCACCATGTACACAAAAACGTAGTTCACTATTACTAGTAACGAGGTTCAACCCGTCGAAATCGACGGTTACTTTCAAGGCTTACGTTAATTCATCTAACTGCGATAAATTGGGTGAAATATACACATTTTGAGCATTTAGCACTGTTTAAAGAGTTATGAGTGTAAAAACAATAATTATATTAATTGCGTTAGTTGCCAAAATTGGTTGATCATTCAATGATTAAAATATTTCCTATACTGTACGTCATCGGAGTTATTATTAGTATGTTATATGGTATCTATCTCTTCCTTTGGAAGAACCTTTAAATAGTATTAAAATCGTATTGGTGGATCATTTGTTAAACACTTCCGTGATTTCATCAGTGTAATATGATTTTATTTTAAAATAAAATTTTTTTTTGGGAAGACATATTCTTACCTCTATTGGAGGTATTCTTACCTATATCCGTTACAGTGTAAGTTTGATTTTTCCTTCGTCACGTCGCGTCAATTCATACCGTACTTCTGTGCCAATGAATGAACCCTCTAGCATAGTTTTGAGAAATTGGTTGTGGGGTTACTGTTAAAGCTGGAATTCCTTGACAGGGGGGATATCAGTTATATGTCTCAGCCTTATCAATAACATAAAGTTGTCAATATAATCTCCTCTACGGAATGTTAGGTGTAGTGGAATACTTGGTGAAGTGAAGTTGGCTTTTATTCTTAAACTGTTAGAGGCCTCCTCATTTATGTGGTCGTGCGGCTTCATTGGCAACAAATAATGCAAATGACATAGCAATGTGGCATTTATAAAAAGCAAAAAATAATGTAAATTGGCTGTTACGTAAATATTGACGATTACATGCATTGTTAATCAACGTATCTAATAAAGGATGATGGGATCTAGTTGAAAAGGAATATGACCTTTCTGTCATGACAGTAGCTGCTTAAATAGTATTTTCTCTTTTTACCATATTTTACAACCAAAATGTCGTGTTATTTTCAATAATGTTACCAACCCAGTGCGCCAAAGTCCGAAATATAGGCAGGTGCAAATAATTTGTTAAGATGGGTACCATTTTAGGCAAGGTTTCTATGATTGGATTTTATTAGAGATAAGAGCAGATATTTCTACATAAATATTTGATATGTGTAGAATAATATGATAAAATGTAGGCAAAAGTGGTGAAAAAGGCAGACACCAATCCGTAAAATGGATATAAGATAATTTAATAAGAAATAATTTAAGAATTGCTGTGATAAAAGGATTTTCCACTGATTTCGTAATGGAACGTTACATTGCGAAACATGACATGATAAAGAAGAAAATCAATTTTAAAATCAGAAAATAACATTGAAAATACCTATTTGGTAGAATTCAGTAACTTCCAATAAATATTTGTGTTGTTTGAAATACAATTTAAAAA